TATCTGTATATCCCTTCAATGTTGAAGAAGGCTCGTGTAAAATCGAAGAAGCATCAATCACCTTCGATCATCCGCTCGATGAGCAGGAATCACAAGAGTATCTCGACCAAAGAGAAAAGGTAAGTCAACACCGAACTGACCTAACTTCTAGGCTTGAAGAAGCTTATGAGATAGGCCAGCCTGAAATCTTTCCAGGATTTCAGGAAAGGCTAGAAGAGCAAATATCTTTAGCTGACGGTTGCTCCAACGATGCTGAGCGGCAGCAGCTAAAGGAAATCCTTTTGGAATTCCAAGATATTTTTGCCAAAGATTCCTACGACTGTGGGTTAACTAACCTCCACGTAGCCAGAATACAAACTGATCCAAATTTACCACCTGTATTTATCAAACAATATAGACTCCCATTAGCGTCATATGATGGTCTACAAGACATCATTCAGAATTTAAAGGAAAGGGGCATTATACGTCCAGTGCACAGTTCGTATAATAATCCGATCTTGGGGATTCTGAAACCTAATGGACAATGGCGTTTATGCGCTGACTTACGACAGCTAAATAAACGCGTCTATATGTCTGGTTGGCCAACACCATACATAGACCAATGTTTGGTACAAATGCAGGGATCCAAAATATTCACTGCCATTGACTGTGCGCAGGGATATTGGACTGTACCAGTCCATAATGAAGACCAATACAAATTGGCCTTCACATTTGGAAAGCAGCAGTATACCTGGACCCGTATGCCTTTCGGTTACATAAACTCTGGTCATGAATTCGCTGTGTTCATGCATAAAGCTATGCCTGACGCACTCGAGAGAGGAACGTTATCATATGTCGACGATGTCTTGCTGAAAAGCACTTCCTTTGATAAGCATATCTTAGAGATTAGACATGTTCTCACTCAGTTAAGAGAGGCAGGGATTAAACTGTCTTTACAAAAGGCGCAATGGTGTCGCACCCATGTCAATTTCCTCGGACATGAGGTAACTTCTGAAGGATTAAATCCCCAGAGGAAGAAGGTTGAAGCCGTACTAAAGGCTAAAACACCTTCAAACATCAGGGAATTAAGATCGTTCCTTGGTATGACTAACTACTCCCGTAAGTTTATAGATAACTATGCAGAAATAACTAAACCACTCTTACACCTGCTTAAAAAGGAAACTACCTGGAACTGGGGGGAGCCTCAGGACCAAGCGGTAAGTGAACTGAGGAGGAAGCTCACTCAGGCACCCTGTTTAGCATACCCAGAGGGGGGTAAACCCTTCTATCTGGAGACAGGATATACCGATTTAAGCATCAGTGCTGTTCTGTATCAGAAGCAGGACAGTTTAAACAAAGTTATTGCATATGCTAGCAAGACTTTGTCACCTGTTGAAGTTAAATTCAACACGTGTGAGAAGGCGTTATTGTCGACTGTCTGGGCACTACAAAATTTTCGTAGCTATATCCAAGGTGAGAAAATAATTGTAGAAACAGCTCACCAACCTCTACAGTATCTGCAGAGTGAAAGAATTAGAGACGGTAATCTCTCTAACAGTCGGATTACTGCATGGACTCTATCCTTACAGGGATGGCCGTTAGAAGTCCGTTATAAACATAATAAGAGAAGCCCAGTTGCCCAAGGTTTAGCAGAATTACATGACTGTACTGCTCCATCTCTGGATGATAATGACACCGGAGATGACTTCCTAGAAGAGCAATTGCTATCTCCTTATAAAGTTTATGACGAGGAATACTGTCGACCACTACCGTGGGTATACATTGATGGTTGTTCATATCACCACGTCGTTGGTGCTGAACGGAAGTTAGTTGCAGGTATCGGAATCGCCTGGACAGGTGATTATCCTAATGTATCTATAGGATACAATATTGGTCCCAAAAGCAGTCAGATAGCCGAACTCTGTGCAGTGTATAAGACCATTCAAATGGCAATAGAATATGGTATCAAAGAATTTGTTATTATAACTGATTCCAACTATGTTCGCAACAGTTTCGTCGAATATCTGCCTAGCTGGAAACGTAACCAAATGCTGAAAAGCAATAACAAACCTGTTAAACATGGGAAATTGTTTTGTAAAATCGATGAACTGGTTAAGGAAAATGGTTTAACCATATATTGGAAGAAAACCAAAGGCCATTCTAAAATAGAAGGTATTGATAAGGATGGTAATGACTTAGCTGATTCACTGGCAAAACAAGCTGCCATCAATGGTGAAACCCTAAACATTGATGATCTTATGGGTTCAATTCATGTTGAAGCCATAACTAGACGACAGGCTAGAGATAATGCCGACTTAAACGTCGTGCAATGGAGTCAAGAAGCTCCTAATCAGGACCTGATTACCAGTCAAAAGAATGATCCCGTCATAGGCATATTCTATAGACATATAGAAGACCCTACTGCCAATCCCATCACAGATGAGGATTGCAAAAATAATGAAGATTTACGAATCTTGATGAGATATAAAGTCCAATTTAGTATCATGGATGGGTTACTGGTCAGAACTTCTAAACATGGTATACAACAATGGGTAGTCCCAACTGTATACAGAGGGTTAATGCTCCAACACGCACATGATGCACCTACATCTGGGCATCGTGGTGATAAGATCACATATGAGATATTGCGTGATTATGCATATTGGCCACACATGTTAAGGGATGTTAAGACATACTGTCAGGGATGCTTGATTTGTCCGCAATATCAACCCCATGGTCCAACCCATCGTGCACCACTTCAGAAGAGGGGGGTGTCATTACCCTGGTCTGATATTCAAATTGACTTTATAGGTCCTGTAACAAGATCTTCAAGAGGTAACAAATACATGTTAACCGTTACATGTATGTACACAAAGTGGATAGAATGTTTGCCTTGTAAAGAGAACACGAGTACCGTGTGCGCCACTTTGTTGATTAACCATGTCTTTTCCAGGTTCGGTCTGCCTCAAAGAATTGAGTCAGACAGAGGTAGTCATTTTACCAGCGAAGTAATGGCTAAGATGTGGAACATTCTAGGTGTTAAACGAAAGCTACATATTGCATACCGCGCTGCGTCTAGCGGGGGGTAGAGCGATATAACCAGTCTATCGTTAATATTCTGAAGAAATATGTTAAGGAGTCTGGTAAAGACTGGGACATTAAATTGCCCCTAGTTTTAATGGCGATTAGAGCCACACCTAGCACTGCTACCAAATTGTCACCTTTTGAATTGATGACAGGAAGAAAGATGGTTTTACCACAGCATTTACTATATCGTACTTCAGATCATAACTTGATCAATGCTGCCACTACGCATCAGTATATCGAAGATTTGCGCAAGCATTTACAGCATGCATTTGCTTTTGCCCAAAAGAATCTAGAAAAAGCAGCGACAGGGGTTAAGACCTATTACGATCTAAAAACCACGAAAAAGGAATATGAGATAACAGATCAAGTCTATCTGTATAACTTTGCGCGAAATCAAGTCAAGGAAAAGAAATTTTTACCTTCTTGGAAAGGGCCATATGTCATTATTGACAAAATTTCCCCAGTAGCGTACAAGATAAAAATTCCTAAGGATGGTGATTTTATTGAAAAGTGGGTTCACATTAACCAGTTGCGTGCTTGTCATCCTAAATCTCAATTAAGGATTATAGGTGTGGATTCAGACGCAGAAGGGTGAACGACTAACCTGGATGAATGCTTGATTCACGTGGTATAGTATGATGTGAAATGTTGTGATGTGCCATGATCTCATGTGCGTTCATGTCATTAACCATTTCCTTGCCATCCAATAACTACATTTTATAAGCAGGTTACTAGCTTGTTTAAATGCTATAGGCAAATTACTGAAGAGTCAGTAATAAATGTAGTGAGGGATGAAGTTATAAAAATAGAATTAGACAGAATACATATGTTGATGAATCGTAATAATGTGTTGTCCTAGGCCAAGTGATGTCACACTGTTATAAGTTTGTATGCTTAACAAACCTTGAATCATTAGTAGATAAGTCTGAAACGAGTTCCTGATCCGTGACTGTCGAAAGATGTCCAAGAAGGATGTGGCGTGTTTCTGGATCGTACTGCTCCTGTGCCAAGAGCTACGGACCGACCCGATCGCAGAGATGGGACCATCCTCCGGCATCCTGATTCAAGAGACACCAGGGTTCATCTTAACAGAGAAGAGGATCCTGACCCGACGTGTGTTCGTCAGCTTGGACCCCAAGATTTCCATCGAGAAGGCATACAACATTTCATCGATGCAGCTTCCTGAGTTACAGACTTGGTACCAGATGCACCTCCAAAGAGCACAGGACCGTGTGCGAAACATCTTGGAGCAAGCCCGGAAACCATTTGTATCCAGTTCTATTCCGATGAGCAACCGACCCAAAAGGTTCCTCACCGCTATAATTGTTGCATTAGTTTGTGCCACTGTCGGTGCAGTTGTCGCAACTGGAATGTCTGCAGCCAACTTTATTACTGTCCAAAAGCTGGATATGGAAATCTATGCGCTAAAGCAACACATTAACGATATTCATCATGTGATACAACAGCAAAGAACACTTCTCCAAGACGTGTTAACTATTGTGGAAGACACAGTTGTTACAACAAATTTGCATTCAGAGTTAATTGCCAAATCCACTGAGTTGCACCAAAGTCATGACTTATTCAAGCGTGAACTTTTATTTCTGCATGACCCAATATTGTTCCACACACTTGCTTTTCTTGACGAAGTGCAAACTGGAATGATCGAATTGGCAGGGGGACGCATACCTCTGTATTTTGTATCCAAGGATATTGTTCATGCGATGCTTGCCAATGTGGATGGAGAGACAATTGAGCCTATGCAATTAAATCTGGCCTTTGAGATGGGGAGCGCTATACCTCTCTTAATTGATCCGGAACGTATGGAGATTTGCTTTTTATTGGCCATAACATATGTAACTCTCAAAGACATTTTTCAAATGAAAACAATGTACTATGTAATAATGATATTATGGTTGATTGTACTAAGCGTAAAGTTCAAAACTTTTACAGGTACAAATATATACAAAAATGTTCATTCCACGCACGGGCCTATGTTAGAAATGATGTGATTGCACAATATGTCTGGTAACTTCTATAGTGCTTATTCATAAGCTAAATTAATTTTGGCTATGAAATGCACTAAAGGGGGGTTATGTCAGGGTATTTATATCGGCAGACATCTTGTGCTATGATAGAAACTAAAAGTGTATATTCTTAGTCACTCTGAACAGACCAGACTCCATTTTGTTATTTCAAGTTAACAGAAAGACACTATATTTCTATCTGTAAGCTAACCACTTTCCCAGAGCTGAGGAATGCATAGTATATACAAGCCAAGTGATAAGGAAGGGGGTTGGACAGACTGTCTAAAATGCTAATGGAATATAATCAAATCTAAACCCAGACAATTGTGACAGAGAAGATTAAATAATTTAATATTTAACTGTCTATATATATAAGGTACCATTGTATGGAAAAGGGTAAACTTAGTTCATGATCTGTCATATCAGAAATTATGGCAGGAATTGCAGACACATAGTCTGGACAAAATTTAAGAACCCCTTTGATCTTTGAAGGATACGTAAGTTATAGCCACTATCTAGATAGGCCAAAATGACGTCAAAATAGCCACCAGGAAAAGTTAACTCTTTCCTGGATAGGTATGTTTAGTGGGACAAGACTGCCCTCTACAGACCAAATAACTAATTTGCGATCTGGAAGATAACCACACCTCTAGTGCTTCTATTGGGTTATCAACTGATGACGTACAGAGAGTCTGGCCCTTTAAAAGTTAAGACAAAGGGAAGATAGAGATATACACGAGAGGAGGCAGATGCAAGATATGCAAAGGAGAGGAGAGAGGAATTGGAAGTTTGGGGATTCCAACTCGGACAACATCTGAGACTAACACTCTACTCCTAAAACTCTAACACTTAGAATTTACTGACTTTCTAACCAACACCTCCATGCAGAGAGACTACCAATCGGATGAAATATCTACTCAACTGGTAATTATACTGGTTTCATTTAATTAAATTAAATTAATTAAAATGTATTAATAGCATTATATATGACTGGATAAAGCACGGTCAGATTTCCATATTAAGAAATCTTAGTTAACTAAAGAATATATAGTTATAAACATTCCATTCTGCAGGTGGAATTAAGAATAATTATATATTGATGTGATATTATCACGTGTTAGCATACCGCTGTTTTTATCCAGGTGTATTGATTTGCTCTAAATTAAGATAGATATCTTTTAGACAAATTAAAAATCTGCTTATATAATGTGGTAAATTCTCTTATTGGATGATTTTAAGAAAACGAATTTAAACTGGTTTAAATGTTATTTTATTTAAAAATTACATAAGAATAGATCTTAACTACCTAGGAGATCTAGCCAGCATTGAAAGGGTTATTCTAACTGTCTGCTAAACTTTACGACCTTATGCTGCACGCTGAGGAATTCTGTTCTCTGTGTGAAAAGTTTCACTTTCAGCCTGTGTTAAGGATACCTCATAAATCGTAGAAGTCTTGACAGATAATGAGTTAATAGCCATTGAAACGTAATACCCATTTCTTTGTATTGCATATAATTTTGTACTGGATATTCATTGATTATCATGCATGTTACATATTATTTGTTATTATAAATAAAAATCTATTTTTATACATTGTGATATTATTATATGAAATACATTCCACTTAACACGATAAACGTTCTTTGGGATCTGAGAATTGAATTAGTGGGCAATTCTCACTGTTACTATTATTATCTCATAAATATCCCCACACTACCAGAAGTAGAGCTGTGTAACCCACTTATGGTTTAAGTTTCTCTTAGCAAAAGGGTTTTCGTGGAAGCAGTGTCACTGCTCCTGGGTCGCCTTGCCTAGAAAAAGATACCATTCTTCAATGACAATATAGGACCATCTAGGATGTTGTTCCATCATCACAAATTATTTGTATCAATAATTGATGTTTTAATAGAACACTATTGTACATAACAAAAATCACTGTTTAGTAGATATACTCCACACGAAAGCGTACATTTGTGTTTATTTTTTCATTGGGGATATATCTAAAAACCACTTACAAAAGCATCCTGCTGCTGACTGTAGTGTTACTGAGCAAATCAGTCTGAAAGGAAGTGCTCACTGAGAGTACTTCCTGTCAGACCAGGTACAGCATCGGTGAGTAGGTAGAGGAGGGGAAGGAGACAGATGGGGGGATGGGGGAGGTGAAGGCAATGAGACAGATGGAGGGGCAGGGGGAAAGGGAACGAGACACATGGGGGGCTTGGGGAGGAGGGAACGAGACACATGGGGAGGCTGGGGGAGGAGAACATGAACCAGGGGGAGGGGGGAGGAGGAACAGACACATGGGGGCTGGAGGGAATGAGACACATGGAGGGGGGCAGGGCAATTAAGCACCTGGGCCCGTTGGGTTTATAGTTATGCATTTGGCTGCCACATTCACACCCCCACAACCCTGGAATTCTATCACACAACCCCACTCCAACCATGCCACACTAACCTCCCATTGTTCTGTCACATTACCCTCCATAATCCTGAAACAAGTATCTTCTGTCACACTCACCCTAGCACATTGACCCCTTTAATATTGTCACTCACTTCCAACCATGCTAGACAGTCACATAATCCCCCCTAACCTTGTCATGCTTACCTCCCCTCGCCCTCTCAAACTTCCTCCTCCAGTCATGTCACATTCATTCCAACCATGCCACACCACTCTGTCACACTTACCTCCCCTCGCCCTGTTACAATCATTCCTTCACTCAAGTCACACTAACCCCCCCAACCAGGTCTCATTCACCCCTCTCATCCTGTCACACTCACTATGCCACAGTTACCCCATGAAGACAGTCATCCTACACACAGTCATAAAACACAGCTTTGCCATAACCACAATGCAAGGTCACAGACAGGCCCCCCATACACACACCCCAGACACAAAAACATACATATGCTCACAGAGACGTACATTCACACACAAGGAAACCGACGGTCAGACAAACTCTCAGGCTCATACACAGGTGGACAATACCAGACACACTCAGAAATACACACTGTGACTGCATGTCTGTATTTCCAATAAAATTGATGAAGAAAACAACTTTAAGCGCAGCATCAGTAATACAATACAGTAAAGAAAATTGTGACTAAATAAATCAGATAAAAGCAACATAGATAAATACATAAAATAGTCCAAATAAAAATTCCAGGCGCATTGTCCAAAAAACAACTTTCCCAATTTATACCATAGGCTATAGTAAAGCACAATCGATAGAGTCTGGTTAGAAGATGGCAGTCAATCTAGTGTCAACAACTATAAGGGAAGCCTTATCACAGACAGGATGGGGAACACTCCAAGTATGGCTGTAACTATCCTAGTTGTTGAAATAGAAAATAACACGAAGGGGGTGGGTGGGAGGAGAGAATTATCAATGGGAACACTTCTTGTGGTATTAATGAACACACTGACTGTGATTTATTATTGGGCAAACGTCTTGTGGTATTTATGAATATCACAGTAAGTATGCCAATAAAAAAATACCTTAGTAAGTTTGCCCATTAATAAACGGGCAAACTTACTGTGGTATTGATTTAATGGGCAAACCTACTGTGATTAATTAATGGGCACCTGACTTGGCATATTTTTAATGGGCAAACTGATTGTGGCGCGAAAGTGACACTGTTCTGTGTACGCTCTTCATTACTTCTATTTTTTATACATTTATGCTTGTGGTGTGCCGTGGAATTCTGGGAAGAGCTTTGGTGTTTCCTGGGTGAGAAAAGGTTGAGCAGCACTGCTCTACAAAACTTAACCACATGACAGGTGCATGTTAAATAGACTGCCGCTGTAGCATAATAAAGATGAAGTCTGCATTTAAAAAAATAAAATAAAACATTTAACAGACCCCTTGCCAAAGCAGACTCTGCTACTTTAGAAATTGTAACACCACACGTGTCATCAATGTAAAGAAAGATTTTATACAAATTATGACAAAGTCATTTCGGTTCACGGATTAATATTTTCCATTCGTGGTGATGTAATAATAAGCCATCCTGAAAATCTGTCTGCAATTTTTTTATTTATTTTTTTTATTGAAAACACAAGCCATTTCTCCAGAGGCTTCCAAAATATTATATATTTTAACAAACCTCTTCCAAACAATATTTAGGTAAAACACATTAAATAGAGTAGCAATATAAACAGGATGTGTGCTTACTTAATTGTTACATAAGATAATGCAAGCAAAGCAGCATTGCTAAACCATACTGCAGATAATCATTTCTATTAACAAATGACAAAGGAACACAGTAATATACAAGTCAGGGTGTGTTTAATTTGGTTTGCAGCTTTGTAGAAAACAAAAGTTCAATGCGAGAATTTTCATTAGTGAAAACTGAATTTCACTCACTGCAGAACCTCAAAATGTCTCTATCAAGTGAATGAACAATAGTTACACTGTTATTCAATAAAGTGAGAATAAAGTGGATTTCAGAATAAAGGCTAAAACAGTCAAGTTGAAAACAGAATTGACTTGGCGAATTGTTCTAATTCGATTATTTTGAAATTTCATGTTGAATTTCCAACAATTCTCACAGTTCGTGTTCTCTAGAAAAAGACGACCTCATCAATAAATATTGCTGCTTCGGATATCAGTCTACAAACAGCAAATTTGGATGTTTTGAGAACAAACTTTGAAAAGTTTGATTCTCAACTCACCAGAACACTCTCTGAACTGTCGAGAATTGAAAACGGAATAACAAGTGAACTTTAAATTAAAGGCCATAAATAACCAATTTGGAAAAATTCACACTGACAAAAATTCATACTGACATTCACACTTTGATGAATAACCTTGTCTGTTTAGTGAATAGACACCTAAATGCAAATTACCAGCTTTAAAATATCTGTACAAGTTTTAAACTTGGGTGACCGAAATCACAGGATTTATGTTGCCCATGCCGCAAGCATCTGCATGCCATCGTCATCCTCTTCCACTCTCTTCCGCGATGATGCTGCAAGAGAATAAGGCATTTGTTGAGTAAAATATCAAACTGGGAGATAAATGACTTGCTTTATGGTTTGATCAAAGAAGGCAGATACCCAAGAAGGCAATGCTGGTGTAAAGACGTGGGCTTTCAAGTAAAGGTTGTATTTCACTACCAACTTGAGTAAATGGAACGGCTATCATGAGCTGCAGTATCAACCTTTTTTACTTCAGAGATCAATAGAAAGAATATCATCATCGCCCCTTCAAGAAAATCTAGGGGTTAGGGAGAAGTAAACCTTTCTCTCAAGTCTTGATGGTGTAGCTTTTACTGGTTTACTTTTTTGAGATAGATGGGTGGAATAAAACATATTTCTAAGGTGTTTATTTTTTTCTACATTTTTAACCCCTTAAGGACTGGACTGTTTTTGCGATGTTGTACATTTGCGACCAGGCATATTTTTACACTTTTGTGGTGTTTGTGTTTGGCTGTAATTTTCCGCTTTCTCATTTACTGTTCCCATACAAATTATATATTGTTTTTTTCAGGACAAAAGGGGCTTTCTTTACATACCATTATTTATATAATCTCATGTATTTTAATTTAAAAAAAATACAAAAATCTGATGAAAAATTGAAAAAAATACATGTTTTTTGACTTTTACTTGAAAAATCTTTTACTCATCTACAAAAGCGAATGAAAAAAACTGCTAAATAGATTCAAAATTTTGTCCTGAGTTTAAAAATACCCCGTGTTTACATGCTTTTTTGCTTTTTTTTGCATGTTATAGGGCTATAGGTACAAGTAGAATATTGCGGTTTCAAAACATAAATTTTTTAAATTTATCAATAGTGACATTGTAACACTATTATCTGTCATAAAGCTCTGAATAACACCCCACATATACATATATTTTTTAAAGTAGACAACCCAGGGTATTCAATATGGGGTATGTCCAGTCTTTTTTTAGTAGCCACTTAGTCGAAAACACTGGTCAAAGTAAGCATTCATATTTGTTTGTGTGTGAAAAAAGTAAAAAAACTAAATTCAACGCTAATTTTGGCCAGTGTTTGTGACTAAGTGGTTACTAAAAAAGACTGGACATACCCCATTTGCAATACCTTGGGTTGTCTTCTTTTGCAAATGGTATCCCATCATGGGGGTAATTCTCATTCCTGGGCTACCATACGCTCTCAAAGGCAACGTAACCAACCTGGCCATTTTCAATGTAAAAATAGTTGACCCATATATTTGACCTTGTAACTTTCAAAAATGCTATAAAACCTGTACATGGGGGGTACTGTTTTACTCGGGAGACATCGCTGAACACAAATATTAGTGTTTAAAAACTGGAAAACGTATCACAACAATTATATCATCAGTAAAAGTGCTGTTTGTGTGTGAAAAATGCAAAAAAGTAACTTTCACTGACAATATCATCGCTGTGATATGTTTTACTGTTTTGAATCACTAATATTTGTGTTCAGCGAAGTCTCCCGAGTAAAACAGTACCCCCCATGTACAGGTTTTAGGGTGTCGTAGAACGTTACAGGGTAAAATACAGTGCTAGCAAATTAAATTCTCTGGAATTTCGGCCTGGGTTGGCAGGCAGGTCCCTCAAATTGTAATCAATAAAATTACTGAATTATGTAAAAATATTATATAAATACGCACGTAGAATTTAAATATATATGCATATTTATATATTTGAAGTCTACGTGTATATTTATATAATTATTTATGTAATTTTGTATATGGACGTATGTATATTTCTTATTATTTTTATTTATTTTTATATACATAGATATATATACAAATTCATTCTAAGTGTATTTTGATATAAATATATGTATATTAATTTTAAAATACAGTTAGAATAAAATTTCATATAGCTATAATTTTTTTTTAATTTTTTATTATTATTTAAAAAAAAATTATTTAATTTAAATTACTTATTATTTATATTTTATAATACTATATATATACAATATATATAGTTATTATATATATATTATATATATATATATATACACGTGTGTAATTTAATTATAAGTGTATTTTTATATTAATATAAGTACATATTAATATAAAAATACACTTTGTATGGCATTATATATATATGATATATAGACATATATTATATAGATATAATATATGTCTATATATCATATATACACATATATAATTATTTATTTATTTTTAATTAACATTAACTTTATTTTTTTTCCTGATTTTACACTAGCAGGGAGACTGCCTGTCAGCACAGACAGTCCCCCTGCAGGCAGCACTATGGACATCTATTGTGACCATGTGATCGCTGTGTTAAGGGGTCCTATTCCAGTGTGGGGAGACTGTCTGGGCTGCAGGCAGTCTCCCCACAACCGGAGCCACGCTGATCGCCGCCGGGGGAACGACGGCGATCAGGTAAGTAACTAAGACCGTTAGGACGGTTCGGGACCGTCATCGGTCGGCAACGCAAAAATGCCGATGACGGTCCTGAACCGTCCTCGGTCCTTAAGGGGTTAAAGGAATTACATTTCATCAAGAAGGTGCAGAAATATCAGGGGTAAGACCTTTTTGCAGGTATGGAACTACAGTTAGTGCAGCCGATGCAACTGCACTAGGATTCCAGCAGGTCTCTCCAGTCTCTGCCAAGGTTAAACTCCAGTTTATAATCATTAAATACAGTTCAATAATTCTCAATCCATTTCAGTGTGACCAGAACTCAGGCACCTAAATTTGAGTAATCTATCCAATCAAGATCACCATTAAAGTTCTGTTACCTATTTTTAGCACCATTAAATAATATAATATATTAATTGCCTGCAGCTTGTACTTGCTTTTCCGATGCATGTAATTGTTTTTATTGAGCTTTGGATAAAAACAGGTGTGGTCAAACTTTAATGAAATTAAATCTAACTAGCTCCCTATTTATGCTGATGTAGTGGCTGAGTCATGCTACTTTCTATAACAGTGCTTTAGTATAAATGGCACACACCCTACAACATTAGATCTATAAACATTAACCTCCTAGTACAAAATTATGTATATCCTAACACAGCAAATATGCAGTAATCACTTAACATAAAGTAGAATCCCTCACAGCAGCACAAATATGCAAAACAGGTGTTGTCTCAAGCACACCTAATGCAACTAATCAAGGACTTCATCAGGTGTAGCAGATGTTCTTGAGCTGGAACACTTGGAATACCTGAACTGGCTATGGGTTTGTTGAGTGTCGCGTTTGACTGCATGTTAGAAATATGGCAAAAGAATGGTTCACAAAGTTAAGAGAAGAGATTATTGCGCCTCACAAACAAGGAACAGGATACAAGAAGATAATGAAGGCACTGAATGTTCCTAGAGACACCGTTAGAAGCATAGTTTCCACTAAATAGTGCTCTCTGTGTCAGTGTGCTAGTCTTACATGATCTGAAGGCAGCCTAGCTTGCCTTAAAGCCAGGGTGACCTGCCAGTAATTCAGGCAGCCTGCCCCCTTTCTGTTTCCTCCATAAAAATAGTCAATTCCCTTCAGCCGTCCCTACTTTGTCTCTGTATATCACTTGACTAGTTTGAAATTTCAGGGAAATTCCAACATAGTCAAAATGAGTATTTCATAAATACTTTCATCAATACTCATTGTTTAGGAAGGGGGTGACCATGCTGCTTTAACAATTTCTCTAAATAAAAGCCTTGTAGAAAAACAATATATGCTTATATTCTATATATTTAGTTATTCCCAAGAGGCAAATATTGCTTTAGAGCAGACTCGACAAATCCCAGGAGCCAGGTCGCCATTGTGACTCTAAATTTCGCCCGGACGCCTGGGATTTGTAACCCTTTAGCTAAAGTGGCCGGTTGGGGGAACAATGCTGGGGGTGGTGTGGGGGGTAGTGAGGCTGGGGGTGGTGTGGGGGAGTAGTGGGGAGGCTGGGGGGGTGGTGATGCTGAGGGGTGGTGTGGGGGTGGTGATTGGAGGGGTGGCTGAGTGGGGGCTAAGGGGTGGCTGGGGGTAGTGAGGCTAAGGGTGGTTGGGGGGGTAGTGAGGCTGAGGGTGGTTGGGGGGGTAGTGAGGCTGAGGGTGGTGGTGGGGGTAGTGAGGCTGAGGCTAGTGAGGCTGAGCTCCGCAGAGCTGCAGACAGTGTAATCTCGCAAGATTTCAGAGCGTTGCCGTGGTAACCCGCGGCAACGCTCTAATTGGCTAATTCTCGCGAGACACATGGTCTGCAGCTCTGCTCATTGCGGAGCTGCAGACCGGTGTCTGCGGTGGCTGGCCGGGCAGCCAGGAGGGGCCTCGCACCTGGGCAAGCCACCGGGCCCCCTCCTGGTGTCAGGTCCTCGGTCACTGACCGAGGACCTGACACAGTCTGCCATCAGGCGGTTTAGGCGGCCGCGAGGCCCCAGCCAGTGCGAGGCCTTAGGCGGCCGCCTAAACCACCTGATTAGATAGCCGCCTCTGAACCCAGAGCTCCATCAGCTGTTTCACTGCCCTATAAATCAGGTCGCCTTCTGGAAGACTGATTCCCCTCCCACCATACCCCGTGCTCATTTCCTTATTTATAGATAGTATCCCACACAACTTTCAATTTCCTGAAATGACAGGAGCAAACACTGATCAGCACATCCTTCCAATCTCTTAACCCTATAGATTACATCCCCTCTCTCCCTACAAATAGCTATATATCACACACCAATATTATATACTTTGATTTAATTTTTAATTTTTGTTTTTCACTATTTGTGTTTCGTTTTCATCTACACACCTCATACCACTAACATGAATCCAAATATAGCCATACTGTTATTCTTAATAACCTTTTTCTCACTCCAATTTTGTTCACATCACTACCAGCATAAGCACGCACCTCAAACTGGAAAACAAACCATACCTCATGGCCTGCTCTGTTCCTGTAACTTATCTGCTGAGTGCTGGTGGAGAGTTATAAACAATAGCCCTCCTACACCATCCCCTCCCCCATTCACTATATGGCCAAACAAAAATGATGTCCAAATTCCTATTCCTTATGTTACTTGCCCTTCCAAATGATGTGGAGTCTAACCCTGGTCCCCAAGCTAATTCTAGTCTTAATCTCCCTACTAAAAAATGCCTCAATTTTGTGCACTGCAACATCCGTAGCTTACTCCCTAAAATGGATGCACTGCAAGCCTCGTGTTCCCATTACAAACCAAAAATCATTGTGCTCTCTGAATCATGGTTAACAACTAAACACCAGATTCCGCCATTGCAATACAGGGTTATTCATGTTTTAGAAATGACAGAGTAAAGAGAGGAGGAGGCATAGTTATTTATGTTGACAATTCCATAAAGTATTGAGGTACAATGATCTTTGGAACAGTACCTAAATCACACAATTCCCACCTATCCATCAAAACAAATTCAAATAGCACACGGACCGCAGTCCACTCTTTCAAATACTTGGGTATGTTGTTAGACCCCAATCTATCTTTTGGCCTCCACATAGAAAAACTTGCATCTAAACTTTATCCAAAACTAGGTGCCCTGCACAGAAACAAATCCTGCCTAAGCCCTACAGTAAAGGAAAAGATTGTAGAGCAAATGCTGATGCCAATCATTGATTATGGGGATGTAGTATTTGCATCTGCACCGCAATCCCACATTAATAAACTCAATACATTGCATAACACGTTCTGCCGATTTGCGCTACAATGTAATTACAGGACCCACCATTGTGACATGCTAAAATGTGCTGGAATCCAGATGCACCCTTCATCTTTCCATCCTTGTGTTTAAGAGCTTTTCTGGGAAGCTCCCGCCCTACCTGAGCAGAATGCTCTCCTCGGCTGTTCCCACCTCCTATAACCTCCGAACCAGTACTAGCACTTTATTTAGTCTACCTCAATACGAAAAGAAAGCGGCCTGATCCTCCTTTTCCTACAGAGCACCGCATTTATGGAATGACCTCCCGCACACTTTAAAATCTTCCCCAAGCCTAAAGTCCTTTAAGAGATCCCTCTCTACATACCTCAAAACAGAATGCACATGTTATGGTTGATTATATATTTCCTACCTGTTCTATGTTAAATTTTGTCTAGTTTTTGTATTTTATTGTACCCTAATGTATCAATGCAATGATTTGTGGACCCAGGACATACTTGAAAACGAGAGAAATCTCAATGTATCTTTCCTGGTAAAATATTTTATAAATAAATAATGAAACTGCTGATTTTATTGGTTACAATGGTGAGTGATCAGTTTTGAGAAATTTCAAAAGTGCACTGCTTTTATCCTAGTGACACTTTTATACATCTCATTCTTAAATTTTAATTTCACATTAGCATGAGTAAGCTCCTGTACCAATTTATGATGATCATATACAGCTCATATTGGAGTGTTTATTCAATAAACATTGAATTATTTTAAATTAAAAACCAAACTGTGCAATGTAAGCCAATTAAGCTGATTTGGAAGAATTTTCTAACTCATCATAGTTACAGTTTGGCTACTGTAGCCTACATTTTGCAATTTGGTTTATAAACACAACCATTTTGTTTTCAGTGAATAAGTACAAGTGTTTGCTCATTAAACAGTAAACTGTGATGTTGATGAATGAATAGTTGTATTTGTATTCAAAAGGTATTATTGCAGTAACAATACAATTAGAGAACGCCTAAATTTTCTTATTAAATATGATTGGATTTGTTGGGACTCAGGATTTCATAATGAGCAACTTCCTGTTTCCTTGAAATTCCAGTAGGTTTTTCCATACCATGCAATGATTGCAGTGAGTCATATACATACATTCTCAGTTAGAATACTAGCAGACAATAAGACAAGCATCCAATTTACAGGCCTCCCAGAGGGTCCAATTTTCAGGACCTGGAACTGTCCCCAACAAGCATAGTGCAAGCACATCCGTAGGCAGGCTTGTGCTATGTTCAGAGCTCTAGGACACCAAAAACAGTGCTCCATTCATGGTCTGCCTTCAGTGGGCGGACCTAGATGATGGACCGGAAGCTTAGTACGCACTCACGCCAGGCTGACCTCCCTGTAAATCAGGCTGATCTGCCCCCTTTCAGAGGAGAGCGAGTGACACAATCATCACTGGCATTGCCCTCTTTACTCCCTTCCACTAGTCCCGATTCTCTGGACACCGGAGTTAGGAGGTATGAATTCACTCTTTAGTTCTGTTGGACGGGGAGTCTATCTGTTTACAGATATAAGCTGTTTGTCACCATAACAGCCTCATCTATTAGCCCTGCTCATTCCAATAAATTAATAGCACAGTGTATCACAGACAGAGTTATTCACTAAGTTGAGAATTCAAAGTGAATTTCAAATTTAAGGCGAAAACTGCTTATATGGCAAAATTCTCATAGCCAGCTACACTTCCAGTTATGTCATTTTGGTCTAAAATTTGAAATTCAGTTTGAATTCTCACTTTAATGGATAACCTTGAGAGTTTCAGGAATGAGAAGGCAGACGTAACAGACTTAACAAACTATTACTAATATTGCACAGGAAAAGGAAATCTATTTACCTGGCCTGGATGGCAGTTTTGTGGAAGGCACGCTTGGAAGAGTTACGTTGGCCAAGTGGCTGTTGAGCTCCTCCTGCTCCAGTTCTTCTAATTCTTCCAACAATTCATCCTGAAAAAAATATGAAAGATGTGCAGAAGAATATTATATCAAAATCAACGGTTATTCCAAGCACCATAACCACTTCGGTGATTTGAAGTGGTCATGGTTCCTGGAGTCTCTATGTGCAGTGTTTTGCTTTGAGCTAAACCCCTCTGCTGCTGGAGGTGAAACTCCACTTGGGCAACATCGTAGTAGTGTCATGAGCCAGAATTTTGTGCAACAAATGACAATCATTGGCTGAGAGCGGTCAGCTGATGCTCTCAGACAATGAATGTTGGCTCCCACAGCTTCTGGCTTCTGCAGGGTTCTTCTTTGTATTTTAACAGGGTTATGAGATACAGATAATTTGATGAGACCTACTGAAAGCCAAATGGTACTGCCCACAATATAATAAAGATGAGTGACTATATACAGGATAGAGAAATTAACTAGCAATACATTGTCCCAAATGATTAGTGGCAATCCACTAGTAGTGGTATGCACTTGCTGTGCCTCCATAGAGAAGCATCACACCCTGAACTCTCACTTCCAGTTTGCACTATAGCACAAAGCCTGTGAGGAGGAGACCTCTCTAGGCATGCCTGATTGGCAGCCAGGAGGGTGCAAAACCCAGACACATAATAAAAGTGCATATTTATTGTGGAAAATAGAACTTGGAACTTTTATGAAGTGTGAAAGATGTTGCGGTCTGTTAATCCTTAAAGTAATATAGGGGTTTGGAGTGTTCTTTTGACTATTTTTCTCTTCTAAACATTTTTATTTTTGTCAACCATTTTGACTAATCTTCGCTTAACTGACTTGGTCTCTATACTTCCACAAGCATATTTGAGATTTTGAAGTTCATTATTAACAGTAGAATTTTAGATGTAATTCTTATTGAGATTTTAAATCTTCCTTTGATGTCTTCAGGTACAGCTGATCTTAAAGGGACACGTTAAGCAGCAGAAGAGACTGAGGTCTGACAATTGCAAACACTGCGGTTTCTAAGAAAAACACAGGGTTAGCATCTGTGACTAATGACACCTTCAGTGGCCCTTGCTGGCTTGGCTCTGTAACCTTTGCAGTAGTGACATTCGGCATCTTTATGCTGCCCATAGATATGCATTGAGACAACGGAACTTTAAGAGGAGAAGTTACCTTGATTTTTAAGGCTTGAAGAGAAAGCAGTTAATTTAAATACTAAAACTAATGATCATTACAGACCTTGATGCAGAAAAGGTACTAAGAATGTTGGTGATTCCACCGCAGTATTCCAAAACAGCATGCTATAGTTCTAAAAGCCATGCATACCAAGAGCTATATACAAAGAAATTTGACCTGATTTAGTAAAGGATGGAAATTACAACAACAAAAAATGATGTTGAGGAATAGGGTTTAGCTTGGTAATTTTTTTGGGATCTTACCTCATCAAATTCATCCCCAAAACCAACGGGGCGAGAAATAGCATCAGAGATTTCTTGTGCTACATCTTGCTGTTCATTGATGTCCTGCATCAGTTCATCAATCTTGTCCAAATCCCTAAAAGCAATATAAATTATTGAATTACATTCCAGACATATCAAACACAAAGAATATTAGTAACAGGCCACATATATTTGGCAACGTTTCGACCAGCATATGGGTCTTTCTCAAGCCACACAGTTTTTTTGCTCTGTGTGTCACCCAATAAAATGACTATTTGAACTAGAAGAGGTTAGCAGGACCTTTTTTAATATCTGCGATATTTTCTCTCCTCCCAGACTTCTGCTATGGATTATACATCCATTCTTATCTTAACCTTTACATAAACTTATTAAATACAATCTGTTAATTTCGTTTACATTATATGAGACCCCACCAGCTTTCCTATCAAACCTTATGTCAAGAGCGGCTCATCCCTGGCAGCCTACTGGTGAAGGAGATAATTATGCATTTTCTCACTCAGTCCTCACGATCGTAGCTCTCTTGAGTCTCGCTGTGGCGCAAGACCTTCAGGAAGACAGCTCTGGAGTATAACATAACTAGTATACCAACACCACCATTGAGAGAACCTCATGCAGTGTGTGAGACCCTGCTTCGCTTAGCAATTACAGCAGGGTTGTCAAACTACGCCCCCATGTGGATTACTACAACTCTCAAAATTATGAATTATGTCCAACACTATTTAAGAGGGCGGAGTTTGACAATCGTGAACTTCAGTGTATCAGCACTACCATGTTGCATGAACACTCCCACCTAGCAGTCAAGCTTAGTGGCAGTATAAGTGAAGGAACTCTTGTGCTACCACTGCACACACAGCCTAGATACATATGAATAGCAAGTTTATGTTTGAGACCCAGAATTTAGACTATATATTATATGCCACTTTTGATTTAGGATACAATTGTTCTTATGCCAAAAAATACACCCTGCCAGTTATATATCCTGCCCTTGACATAAAGCTTCCAACATGCCCCTGCCACCTATATTTAAAGGGCCACTACAATCACCAGAACAACTACAGCTTAAAATTGTTGTTCTGGTGTGTATAGACAGTCCCTGCAGGCTTTTTAATGTAAACAATGCCTTTTCAGAGAAAAGGCAGTTTTTACAATACTGCCTAGTAACACCTCTAGTGGTAGTCACTCAGATGGCCACTAGAGGTGCTTCCTGGGCACTGACGTTCAGCGTCTTTACACTCTACATGGAGACGCTGAGCGCTACTCATTAAGATGCATTGATTCAATGAGGAGATGTTGATTTGCACAGCGCTGTGTTTTGACGCACATGCACAATAGCCTCCCAATGCTTTCCTATAAGAAAGCATTGGATTAGCTGAAATCGCAAATTTTGATGTCTCAGACAAGGAGGCGGTGCGGGGACTAGGCAAACCGCAACATCACCGGCGCAGCATAGGAAAAAGGCGAGCACACCACCTTTTTAAAGAACGCCAAAGAGGACCAGGAATCTAAACTACATTTTACAGCTATAGTGTCACAAATACACATTTGTATTCCTGCCACTATAGTGTTCCTTTAATTACTATTTCATTAATCCACCTTATTATGTAAAATTCTCTGGATTTTTCCTCTAGAACTTTAAATTACATTTTTATTACAAATGTATTCTCTCTAGATGTTTTATTTTAGTCCTTAGCTAATTACATACCTGCACAGTACAAAATAATCTCCCAAAAGGGAAATATATATATATATATATATATATATTACTTGGCTACTGATACACTTTCACACGCCAGAAACACTCAAACAATTGAGATTAGTAATGTGCAGACGACAGCTCGTATTACAGTCCATAGTCCAGCTACTTGCTGAAGAAACACTGTAATCGTTATTTATTTAAAAGCATTCAACTGTTTGCCCCAGAATATATTGAACCGCAAGCAATGAATTCCATCTATACATTCTGCAAGCAGAAATACTAACAAATGTATAGCTTATAATTTAAAGCTCTTAAATATTGGCCCTTTCTTTATCTGTCAATCAATCTGCAGCATTAGATCGTCATGCCTTCAGCACAGAGGATCTAATGGCATGGTTTAAGTGACAGCTCATTTCTCATGCTTCGTGGGGGGGATTAGGGAGAATTTTACTCTATGACAGTAATGTGCTGGTAGTAAATGTTGGCACCAGCAGTTGTAAGTGACCTTCTTGGAGAAGTGGTCCTAAGCAGGGTTAATGTACTGCAGAGATGGAGTAACAACAGAGGGTACATTCCTGTAACACCCATGAAAACCACAGGGTGGCAGTAATGGAGCAATATTAAGTCACCTCCCAAAGCAACTTAATATCTATGTATCACTAGGATAAATTAAATTGATTGCCATAGGAGTGGTTATCTGTTAAAATAAACCAGCCCTGACCGGTTCACTTTAAGGTATAATATTCGGGAATACATTTTGAACAACACTGTTATTAGTAGGAATCCATTCAACATTTTTTCATGAAAGTTCATCATGCAATCACGTCAAACTAAATTAACTGCATTCTGTGAAGGAGTCAGTAGAAGTATAGATCAGAGTGATACAGTGCATGTGATCTAGCTAAATGTTCTTGAGGCATTTGTGAGCCTTGGGAGCAGTATTGGAAGAGGGCCCCAAAAATTCAGTCCTGAATGTCAGAAAGCTATTGACATGCGTAAAAGATAGGTATTATGGCCACACAGCCCATACATTCCGCAAGCCAAACATGGCTTAGAGGGACACTATAGTCGACAGAGCTTAATTTAATGGGTCTGGTGTCTATAAGCATGTCCATGCAGACTCAGCAATGTAATAACTACCTTTTCAGAGGAAAGGCAGTGTTTACATTGCTGCCTAGTAACACTTCTAGTGGCAATCACTAATGGTGCTATCTGGGTGAGTCCAGGGCCGCCATCAGAAATTGTTGGGCCCCTAACACAGCTCAAGGTCTGGGCCCCCGGGTGCCTGCCTCCAAGCCCCGCCTCCAAATCCCGCCCACAGGAATACACACACACACACAGACACAAAAGGACACAGACACAGAAAGATACGCACATACTAAACAGACACAAATACTGAAACAGACATACACATACACAGATACACTGACGTACATACATACTCACACACATACATACAGATATACATACTGACAAACAGACATACATACAAATAAATACATACATAATGGCATACTGATATTATTATTATGATGATATTTATAAAGCGCCGTCAAATTCCGCAGCGCTTTACAATATACATACAAACACACACACAGATAGATACATACACAGATACATACAGACATACTGACATACACACACACACACACAGACATACATGCATACTGACAGCTAGATATATACATACACACATACATACTGACATACACACACACACACACACACATATATACATACACACAGAGACATACATACTGACATACATACATGCATACTGACATACACACAGACACATATATACATACTGACACACACACACACACACACAGACATACTGACACACACACACACAGACATATATACATACTGACATACACACACACAGACATACTGACACACACAGACATATATACATACTGACATACACACAGAGACATACATACTGACATACATGCATACTGACATACACACAGACATACATACTTGCAGACACATACACAGACATACATACTGAAAAACAGACACAGGCATATATACATACTGACATACACACACACAGATAGACACATACATGCATACTGACATACATACACAGACATATATACATACTGACATACATACACACACATACACACAGACATACATACTGAGATACATACACACACACAGACATACATACACAGACATACATGCATACTGACATACACGCATACGGACATATATACATACTGACACACACAGACATACTGACATACACACTGACGTACATACTGACGTACACACAGACATATATACAGACATAAACACACACAGAGACACATACATGCAGACACATACATATACACACACACACACACACACACACACACACTTCATTTATCAGACACCCTCCTCTTACCTTTAAGTTGCAGGAGGGTGGCTGGGGATGATGGGAGTGGATGCCTCTGGTGTCCTCTCCTCTCCTTCTCCCCCCACGCGGAGTAAGCTGGGACGAAGTGACCAGCCGTCACTTCCTCCCAGCAGCACTTGCTGTGTAGCTGCAATTTTTTTATTTTTTTTTTAAATGGGCCCGATCGCGCAATTACACGGCCGCAGCACTGACCGGGCCCCTAAAGATATAGGGCCCATTGGGTGGCCCTAAATGCTTGGGCCACCTGATGGGCCCCGGTGCAGATGCACCTGCGGCAGTTTCGCCGCTCCACGTGGAGCCCGGGCAGCCAGGCCCCCCAGGGCCGCCGGGCCCGTGACAACCGTTAAGGTTGTCACCCCCTGATGGGGACCCTGGGTGAGTCCCTGCAATGTTTGCAAGACCTACATTCAGTGTCTCCACACTCTGCATGGAGATACTAAATGCTTCCCGTAGAGATGCACTGATTCAATGCATAAGCTTTCCAATGCGAAGACATTGGATTTTCTCAGATCATCAACATAGATGATTTTAGCCAAAGATGCGGGACCATAAGGTAAATACAAAGCTATTTTAAACCCTTGCAGGTGGGCCCACTAATATATACTTAAGACGGACCATATAGCCATGCTTGTATTCCTAACATTATAGGGTTCCTTTAACCCCTTAAGGACCAAACTTCTGGAATAAAAGGCAATCATGACATGTCACATGGTTAAAAAACTTGAACCTTGAGCGACAGTTTTAAAAGTATGTTCACAGAACCAACATCACACTCTTAATTATTTCAACTTGGCCAACCAATGCCAGTTTTAGAAGTCATAAAATGCCTGTTAGGCATGTGCATGGGGAAAATATTCAGCTCGGTTCGGCATTCCGAAATTCAGCACTTCGAAACTTAGGCACTTGAACACTTCGGCAACTTCAGCACTTTTCTTGCAGCCGCTTTGTAGATAACTCCTTAATGCCCACAGTATTAGGGAGTTATCTACCAAAAGGCTGAAAGACCAATTAAAAAAATTACTTAGTACTAGTACATTTTGTCTATTAAACAGTGAGCAGCAACAAGGTCCCTGAGCAGTGAGCAGCAACAAGGTCCCAGGGGCCCTAAATAAAAATGTTCTCCCCCTGGCCCCCACCCCTGAGCGGTGGGTGGGGGCCCTTAACAAGAATAAGGGAGGGACCTAATGTCCTCCCCCTGACCCCCACCCCTGAGCGGCGGGTGGGGGCCCTAAATTCAAATTTAACCCCCCTCCCCCCAGGTGACTAGAGGTCCCCAAACCCCTAGTCACCCCCTCCCCCAAAAAATTAATCTCCTACCTACCCCCCCTCACCCTAAAAATAATGAGGGGGACATTTAACTAAGTACCTGTAAAAATAGAAATAAACTTACTATTCAATGTTTTCTTTCCTCTAAGATCTTATTTTTTCAGCCCCAAAAAAAGGCAAAATAAAAATCCATAACAACTGACGCAATTTAAAAAAAAAAAAAAAAAAAATCTTCAACCATGGAGGGCTCCGCACAGACTGAGCTCTGCAGGGCGGGGGAAGGCTTATAAAGCCTTGCCTCGAACTGCAATTAGGCTCAGAGCACTCTGATTGGTGAGTTTAAGCCATTCAATCAGAGTGCTCTGACAGGTAAATGAAGAGACTGACAGGTAAGTCTCTACATTTACCTGTCACAGCACTCTGATTGGTTGGTTTAAAATCCACCAATCAGAGTGCTTGGTGTCATTTTACACAGCGTGGGAAAGTTCTTTGGAATTTTCCCACTCTGTGTAATTTGACTCATAACTCTCTGATTGGTTACTTAATCCACCAGCCTGTGGCTGCTCACTGTTTAATAGACATGCCCCTATTGCGGTATAGCGAGTAGGGGCATAATTTACTAATACTAAGTAATTTTTACTTAGTATTAGTAAATTTGGCTGAAAGACCAATTTAGGTCTTTCAGCCTTTTAGGAGATAGCTCCCTAATACCGTGGGAATTAGGGAGTTATCTACTTATTCATTCCTGTCATTACACTGACTGGCTAAGTAACTTATATTTTATATGAATGTATGTTACTTGATTGTTTTAAGTGTTGCAAATGCTTACAGCTGAATCCTGGCTATGTTTGTATACTTTTTATTTGAAATTGTATACAGTGTAGCATTCTTCTTCTTTCACTGGGTCAGTATATTAGTACTTAGGCAATATTGTGCTTCGGAACTTCGACACCTCGGAACTTCAGCACTTCATCAATTCGGCACTACTACACTTCGGAAATTCAGTAATTTCGGCAATTCAGCTATTCGGAAGCAACAGAATGTCCAAATTACCCGAAATTCGGACCGGAACGAATTGCACATGTCTAATGCCTGTACATTTGGCGTTTTCCGAGTAAAGATGTTTAGAACCTCTATCATTATGGGGGCAATGTTAGCAAATAATTTCAAAGTTACATTGCAATTTGAAGCCATTTCATCTCCCAAACTCAATTTTACACAAACTTACATGTTTTGATGGACGGTTTTCATTGCCTTCGCTGCATAGCCCATATTTTTCAACACTTCTGTGTTAGTGTGTGAATTTTCCAGAGCCTCCCTCTGAAACTCAATGGTGGACAGTGTTCCGTCTATCTGCGTTAACTGTTTCTCTAATCTCTTCTTCCTTTTCAAGGCTTGCAAGGCAGCTAAGAAGATAAAGAATAAATTAAATCAAATAATTAGCAATGTAATAGCATTAACTTGCTCTGACAACAGATGAAAAAGTAGTCAATCCTTTGTAACCTCCATTAATGGCAAAAAAAAAATAGCAGAAACTATCAGCTTCAATAAAAATATCTGACAATATATTTACCACTTGGGGACTAAATAATTGTTCATACAAAAAAAAAAAAAAAAAACAGGTGCCATTAAAACATGCAGGTATAACACAAGACAACAACAGAACAATAGGTCTATGCATTTCGTACAAAGACGTAATTAAGACCATTTTAGATTTTGTTGAATGATGTTATATGTGCTCTCATCTTACCCCGACATTTCTTCTAATAGTGAGTTTATTCAACAATTTTGGACATGTTATCTTTGCCCCTCTCAAAAATGTAAAGAATCTGACTCTTTACTGGGGTGTCTTGCCGATATCCCTGATTACACCTTGGATCAGTCGTGGCCAGTTTTTAACCAACAGATGTTTCAGAATTATACTTCCCTAAATGATGTCTTAGCATCATGTGCTGGATTTGCCATTATTGATATGAGTGAGAAAGTACAGGCTCAGTGATGTCATGTGTTCAATGGGTGAATTTATTTAGAACATCCATTTGCATGACTTCTCAACATTGTTTTTAAAAAGTATCACTTGATCATTAACGTGAGACTCTCCATGTTTAAAGAGAAACCCACTTTAATGGAATTACAGGAATTGATGCTTGCATAATCCAATTCAAATTGTTACTAGTAATTAAAATGATTCAATAAGTACAGGCTTCATATGATACAGTAAGTACTGTTCCTTGTAAAAGTGCTATATAAAACACAGTTAGTCTACACCCCCGCATATATCACACAGGGGGAAACGGATCTACAAACATACATTAGATGGGGGACAGTGGCAGGACATATGGGAGGCAGCAGCAAAAGCATCCATATGCATGCTACACCAAGAACAATGCTACAAAACACTTAAATTGTACCGCGTGGGCAAAACACCTACTGACACATGCTGTAGAGACTGTGGAGAGAAAGGCACATATATACATATATGTGGTGGAACTGACCTAAAGTAGCGACCTTTTGGGAGGATGTAGCCCGACTACTGACAGCAGTGCTATGCAGACCAATAAGACCGGACCCCTGGACATTCTTAATAGCTAGACCTGTTGACGCCCTGTCCAATAAAGAGCAAAAATTGTTCAACAAAATAAATCTGGCCGCTAGGAGAGCCATGGCAAAAACCTGGCTGCAAACTGACATGCCACAAATGGAAAGGGTCATCCGCAATATCAAGGAGGCCCACCTCATGGATAAACCAACAGCAAAAATCAGAGATACCTACTCATTGTTCCTCAAAACATGGGAACCATGGGAAGACTATACTAACCGCTGACGACCACATCGACGCAGTGTCAAATACTACTCACAAATTCCTGGGAACGACCTCGAGTGCAGCCCACCCCACCCTAGCGGAAGCCATAACCCATCCGACCCCCATCTTACCCCCTCAACTCTTTCTCTCTCTATACTGACCTACCTATAGGTCACTTCCTAAAAATGTTCATGCTGATACAGGTATATATGACTAGGCTGAAAGTATGTAAATAATATGTAAATCCCATGGGCACACAAATGCCAAGGGACAACAGGATTTGTGCGACTACTGATATCCAACATCAGGCAACGAATAAGACCCCAACCCTAAAAGGAGACCAAACTCACAGACAAGGTGGATCAACCCGCCAATCTACACTGCAATGTATGTCAACAAATCAGTATTGTTAATGTTTACCATCGCACTATACGTTTGTATAATGACACCGACTGTCAATATATATTTTTGTATGCCTTATAACAAGTATCTATACAACTACAAACGCTTATACCCTACCTGTTGCTGTAACCACTTGATATGCATGAACTGATAAAGATTTAAAAAAAAAAAAAAAACAGTTATTAAAACTGCTGGTCAGATATGGGGGTTTACAGATTTAACTCTTGTAGTCATGGATTGGAAATGGGAACCACACAAATTCAAACAATTGTAGATGAAAGTATGAAAAGTGACACGCTCAGGTGCAAATATTTGCAGTTATGCATTGTTTATATGTGTGCCAATTGATACATCAATAGAACCTGTGTCATTGATGATCTGTTAAAAACTATCTTAAGAAGCAAATTTTAGCGGTTATGTAAGTCAGTGTCCCTTGTGTACCAAAGCATGGACGAGGTATTCATTTAGACCCTATTAGTCTTTGGGTTTACTGTTCTGAAGAAAGGTGTCAGACTGAAAGTGGAGGCTCCATCATCAAGGCATGGAGCAATATTTCTGTGTCAAGATAATGGCTGTTAATATCTCTATCTCGTCCTGTAACAAGACAGTGTCAGGAGTAATAGAGAATAACAGAATAATAACATAAACTAAGATCAGGATTGGGGAAAACAGAATAGTCAAAGAACAAGACAAAATTGAAAGCCAAAAATATCAAAACACAATAAGGACACACTCTCTGGCTAATAGAGACCAAGACGGGGCAAGTCTCAGGGTACTTCGAGAAAAAATTTACATTAGCGTCTGCACCATTAGTGGGAATATGCACAGCATCATTATGAACGTGGAGCTGATGCCTAGAAGGTGCAGAGCGTCTCGCAATAAAGTTTGCGCTCATATGGCACACAGCAATATATCAAGTGCTGGAATTACACCAGGATGAGGCAGGCACCCTGACAGCTCTCTATCTGAAATGCTTTATATTTTTTCCATTGTAACAATAATCTGTACGCCTGCAGAGTTTGTTAGTATTCCTGTCCAAGAAACTACTTCTAATTTAATCATCAACTACTAAAGAAGATATGGCAATACGTTAATGGAACCATTGAACACTCAATTCAAGTGAATGCAACAACTCAAAATCTTGAAAAGGCTATTTTTCTTGCAGATAACCAATACCCCAAAATAATGGTTTGAGCAGGCACAAAATAAACACCTCCTCTGCCATGATATGTACCATCAATGTTAATTTCTTACTAATCGATTACACTGTAACTTGAAGGGACACTAAAGTCACCAAAACAACTTTAGCTTAATGAAGCAGTTTTGGTGTATAGATCATTTCCCTGCAGTCTCACTGCTCAATCCTCTGCCATTTAAAGGACCACTATAGTGCCAGGAAAACATACTTGTTTTCCTGGCACTATAGTGCCCTGAGGGTGCCCCCACCCTCAGGGTCCCCCTCCTGCCCGGGGGGACCCTGGAAGGGGGAAAGGGGTAATAACTTACCTTTTTCCAGCGCTGGGCGGAGAGCTCTCCTTCTTCTCTCCGCCTCCGTTACGCCCCGCCGGCTGAATGCGCACGCATAGGAAAGCATTTACAATGCTTTCCTATGGACGCTTGCGTGCTCTCACTGTGAAAATCACAGTGAGAAGCACGCAAGCGCCTCTAGTGGCTGTCAATGAGACAGCCACTAGAGGATTAGGGGGAAGGCTTAACCCATTCATAATTATAGCAGTTTCTCTGAAACTGCTATAATTATGAAAAAATGGGTTAACCCTAGAAGGACCTGGCACCTAGACCACTTCATTAAGCTGAAGTGGTCTGGGTGCCTAGAGTGGTCCTTTAAGAGTTAAACCTGTTTGTTTATGGAGCCCTAGTCACACCTCCCTGCATGTGACTTGCACAGCCTTCCTAAACATTTCTTGTAAAGAATCATATAAATGTTTACACTTCATGTATTGCAAATTCTATTTTATTTAGAATTTCTTATCTCCTGCTCTGTTAATAGCTTACTAGATCCTGCATGAGCCTTCTGTATGTGATTAGAGTTCAAATTGTAGAGCAGGAGACAAAAACTCTTAAGTTACATCTGATTGAAAATGAATTAAAAACATTTCGTGCAGGCTGTAAGTCACAGCCAGAGGAGGTGTGGTTAGGGCTGCATAAACAGAAGCCAAAGTGATTTAACTCCTAAAGGGCAGTGAATTAAGCCTTCAGTGGCATGATGTGTACACAAAAACTGCTTCATTAAGCTAAAGTTGTTTTGGTGACTATAGTGTCCCTTTAAATATAACCAATACCATAACTACTCACAAGCAGGATAGCTGAAAAGCTTGTTTAAAGAAACACACACACAATGCAAGTCCATATAGCACACAATGGGTTAAAAACATACCTGCCACCTACTTGCTGCATTATTGCACTTAGTTATCTGGAACCTGAAATCTAACCGAAAACCCCTGGAAGTATTTTTTTTTTTTTTTTTTACCTAGAAATACTTGTCTATCTAGCATAATAATTCAATCATGTTTAAGTCCAAGTTTTAAAACGAACATTTTCTGACTTCAAAAGGCATTACCAGCAGAAACAAAAACCCCAAAAAATTGTGAAATTTGTATCATGGAGGGTTTGATGTAACAAAATGGTATTGATTGGTTACCGACACTGGCTTGTAATTTATGCCTAAATTACAGAAGACAGTGAAAGTGTTGAATGAATTGACTGCAACTGTCAACACTCAAAACAACCAATGCTCAGTTCCAATGTTCCAATCAAAGGTCTGGCAATACAATAGCAACACACATTGATCAACACAACTTGATCAGAAGTGACATAGCAGACCTCGGGAAGATGGAAATATTCCGTTTCAAAACCACAAGGACGAACCCAGAGGACAAATGCTCGTAAGATATAAAATTCTGGTTCTTGCTTTCAAATCTCTACATAATGCTGCTCCCACCTATCTATCCTACTTAATACACAAGTATGTCCCGTCTAGACCCTACGCTCTGCTGAAGACTTGCGTCTATCCTCTGTTTGTACTCCTACCTCTGATGCTCGTATCCAAGACTTCTCTAGGGCTACACCGTTCCTGTGGAACTCCCTTCCCTTTTCCGTTAGACGCTTACCCAGTCTCCACTCCTTCAAAAGATCATTAAAAACTCATTTTCACAAAAGCATATCAATTAATCTGTTATTGGCTCAAAAAAAACCATGCTAAGTCTTCATTAAATACTATTCTACCAATCTACTTCCCTTACCTTTTGTGTCACTTTACCCCACTCCCACTAGAATGTAAGCTCATTCAGCAGGACTCTCAACCCCTCTGTTTGTGTGTAAAACTTGTCTGGTTACAATTACATGTTTGTTAGTCCACCCATTGTAAAGCGCTATGGAATTTGTTGGCGCTATATAAAAATAATAATAATAATAATAATAATAATAATAATAATAACTACTTTATGAGTCCAGCTGTACATACTACATTGGAGATACCACAGATCTTTGGCTGGGAGCAATATAAACTGAACCACTTATTCCATGAGGAAGCTACAGCCCATGGTAGATAGCATTGGAGAGCAGTCTGAATCCAAGACTGCAGCAAGGCAAGTACAAAGGGAGCAGCTGGGTGATCTGGTAGTATCTTGTAACACAACGGGCAATTGAGACCACAACACTGAGGATGTGAGTAGCATTCAAGTCTCGTCTGAGAATAGAAGGTCGCCAGGTACTGAGCCCATGATTCACCAAGTTGAGGAAGCCATCCACGAGGCTGAGGCATATGGACAGAAAGAGGTGAAAAGTGTCCCTGAGTCCAAACAATTGCAACAATTGTCGGGGACAACAAGCAAAAGTGATGTCATCACAATTGTACTTTCAAACCTTTTTTATTACATCAACATGTGTTTAGCTGGTCACTGAGACTATCATCTCTTGCTCCATAATAAGGGAAGGGTAAAACGCTACGGATTTTATCTTTACAAGAACTTTACAGCCAGGCCTATTGGCCAGTATAAATAGTTCACGTAACTCCTTTATATTTAATAGAAGTATGAATTAAAGGGGGCTCAAATCAAAGGATAAAAGGCCCCCTGGGATAAAAGTTTATTTTTAAGCCCTTTCCAAGTAACAGAGCACAAGCAACGTTGTATGAGGGCAGCCAATATGGCTTGGCAACTGACAATTCTGGAGCTCTGTATCTCCACCGTATCAAGACCTTACGTCACTACGGAATATAAAAATGACCTTCCGTATAAAAACAACCTGTAAAATGTCCACCTTTCAAAGACAATTTCCTGGATCTCGTAGCTTAGTCGTCTGGATTATTTCTCCAGTATCTTGTCTCCTTGTAACACTATATAAAACGAATGTAAACTGTGACTGCTCTGTGTATGAGTAAATATATTCACCGCATTTTGCACTATTGCAGATGTTGATGTAAAAATGCACATTTTTGCCATATAATATGCCCACTGCATGCAGTGTTGTGGCATTTCAGTACTGGAAGAAAAACATTAAAACTAAATCATATCAGCATTGCACTGGAGCAGAACAGATTGCTCAAGCATTCGCGGAGTACTCTTCCATATTAATGTCTTTCACGGGTTTTAAGTTTCCATGTATCTATACAATCCATTCTTCCATAGTTCACACCCCCTTGAAGATAATGTTTCATTTCATTATTGATCCAATTGTGACGTGTATCATAAGACTGGTTGGCTGTATATCTATATAATGATCATGTTGCAATACAAGCCAAGCAAGCTAAAGCTTTTATACTAAAAATAGAACGGTAACCAGTTTTAGGACACGCCGCAACCTGACTTTTAAAATCAGTTTTCTTTAAATAATATAATCGCCAATGGCAGCAACAAACATAACAATAATACAATTTAAGAAACTATAAAATGTTGTTGGAATATATTAGAATAAAAACAGCTATGATGTAAAATCAGATGTATAGGAAGAAACTCTTAAAGTTCAGCTAAAAAACTAATTGGAGCAATTATTGCCTATAATTTGCACTTTGGCTATCCATGTAGTACAATTCACTGTTTAGTAAATACACCACGTAGCGTCTAGTCATTAAACCGTGAATGGCGGTGAATTGAAAACCAAATTAAAAGCAATAATTCAAAATAAAATTATTTGGAAAAAATTCTCCAACTCAAGTCTAGTCACAGGTTGGGCATTTTATGCCAGAATTTTACAATTTGATATTAGTTTAGTAAATAAACCCCTACATCTTTTGAAAATATAAATAATAACATAGCACATAACATACGTTACTCACCTCTCTTGTTTTTTGTTCCGTGTCTTTTAGCTGTCGCTAACTCCTGCTCGATCTTCTTTTCCAAATATTCCTGCTTCTTGGTAAGCATTTCTTCTGTCTCTCTGAGTTTAAATAGAGCCTCCTGGGCACTGGGCCCTTTACGATTTTTGGATCCAGAGGATTTAAACATCTTGGTGATCTTACTCATTTTTGCTTCGATTTGTTATCTAACAGCAATTAAAATGTACCCATACACGAATAATGTCGGATCTCCACTCTAATTGTGAAGTTACGAGGTATACACTAACAGGTGACCTAAGCAGTCAGACACCTGTCATTTCCTGGCTTGTGAAAACTTGAAAAGCAGCTTTGATCAAACATCAACCTGGGAGAGGCCAAGAAACGGGGAGGGAAGACAAGCAAGCAGTCAAGTGACATATTACGTTACTGAATACCTGTTTGTGATACCATTCTCTCCCACACCTGCAAAGGTGAACTGAATGACGAGAATACTAAAAGGGCAATACACTAAAATGTGCATTGGCTAGGAACTTAAATCAAAATGATTTTCATATTGTAGGCCAAAGTAACTGAATTGGAAAAAGGATCAGCTATTTTCACATTTTGGCTACGTGGTTAAAAATGTTACATTCACTTTGAAATCACATGTAATTTAGTTTTACTTCTAACAAGAAATAAAAACAAATCTACAATTTACACACCTTGTAGTATATTGTGGAAAACAATGATAATAATAAAATAATCACCCATGCTGGTTGTGGACTACGAAGCGTACATAACATTTTTATTTCTAATTTCACATTTTCGGCAATGCACTTGGAAGTAAGCATTAAGTAATACTGAAATGTAAGACTTGTGCACAGTGGACATTTTCAGTTTATCTGAAAATAAATTTCAATTCGTCCAAAACAAATTTCATCCATTAGTCAGGTCAGAATTTCCATTTGGATGCATGGAATGTTGCGGTCGCTGTCAAATCTTTCTTTGATTAATAAAGTAGATAAGTCCCAATTACTGATTGCCAAATATACTGGTATTAAATTAAGAAGGAGGATGTGTTTAGTAGATAGCTCCCTAGTTTGATATCCTTAAGTATGGCAATCCCACATATGGATACCAAATCAGGGAGCTATCTATTATGCAGCTGAAAGATCAAAGGAAAAGGTATTTTCTTAATTTTGATCTTTTAGACGTTTAGTTTATCAGCTGTCAGTAGTTAACTCCCTAAATAAAATTGTTACTCTTATGTGGGATTGCCATATTTTAGGGTACCAAAGTAAGTACCTGTATAGTCGATATAGCTCTCTTATTTGATATCTTTAAATATGGCAACCCAACATTAGGATAGCGAATTACAAAGATGTCTATTAGCCAACTTGCAGATTAAAATAAAGAATAGCCCTCTTTTAATTTTGGTCTTTTGGCCATTTAGTAGATTGTTCCTTAATTTGGTACCCTTTTGTGAGATTCCCATACTTGAAAGGGTACACTAGGCACCAAAACAACATTTGCTTAATGAAGCAGTTTGGGTGTATAGACCATGACCCTGCATGACCTATACTGCTAAATTCTCATCAACATAGAGGTTAAATCATTTTTGTTTTCAATTAGATGTGAAAGGACATTGTTTTTACTTTAGAAGTGTTTATCTCCTACACTAGGCTTCCCCAAACTCTGGCCCTCCAGATGTTGCTGAACTACAACTCTCATGATTCTATGAATGGTGCTTATAGTGTTCCTTTAAGGATATCATATTAGGGAGCGGTTCATTAAAGGACCACTATAGGCACCCAGACCACTTCAGCTTAACCCCTTAAGGACCAAACTTCTGGAATAAAATGGAATCATGACATGTCAGACATGTCATGTGCCCTTAAGGGGTTAATGAAGTGGTCTGGGTGCCAGGTCCATTTAGGATTAACCCTTTCTGCTGTAAACATAGCAGTTTCAGAGAAACTGCTGTTTACTTTAGGGTTAATCCAGCCTCTAGTGGCTGTCTCATTGACAGCGGCTAGAGGTGCTTCCACGCTTCTCACTGTGATTTGCCTTTGGGACTTTATAGTAGCCCAGGAATGAAATTTACACCCATAACGGCATACCATTTGCAATAGTAGACAACCCAAGGTATTGCAAATGGGGTATGTCCAGTCTTTTTTAGTAGCCATTTGGTCACAAACACTGGCCAAAGTTAGCATTAGTATTTGTTTGTGTGTGAAAAATGCAAAAAACGCCAATTTTGGCCAGTGTTTGTGACTAAGTGGCTACTAAAAAAGACTGGACATACCCCGTTTGCAATACCTTGGGTTGTCTTCTTTTCAAATGGTATGCCAAACTTAGGGGTAATTTTCATTCTTGGGCTACCATAGGGTCTCAAAGGCAACGTAACCAATCTGGCGAATTTTAATGTGAAAAAAATGAAACACAAGCCTTATATTTGACGCTGTAACTTTTGAAAACACCATAAAACCTGTACATGATGGGTACTGTTGTACTCGGGAGACTTCACTGGACACAAATATTTGTGTTTCAAAACAGTAAAAAGTATCGCAGCAATAATATCATCTGTGTAAGTGCTGTTTGTGCGCGAAAAATGCAAAAAACGTCACTTTTACTGACGATATCATCGTTGTAATACATTTTACTGTTTTGAAACACTAATATTTGTGTTCAGCGAAGTCTCCCGAGTAGAACAGTACCCCCCATGTACAGGTTTTATGGTGTTTTGGAAAGTTATAGGGTTAAATATAGTGCTAGCAAATTAAATTCCCTTTACTTTCGGCATGGGTTGTCGGCAGGTCCCGCTAATTGTAATTAATTAAGATACCTAATTATGTAAAAATATTACATAAATATATATGTAGAATTAGTATATGTGTGTGTGTGTGTGTATATATATATATACGTATGTGAATATATATGTATATATATATATAATATATAATTTTTTTTAAATAATTTTATTTATATATAGGTATATATATAGTGATAGATATATATATTATTTCGTTCTATGTGTATTTTGATATAAATATATATATTAATATCACTCTCTGCTGAATGTGGACACTAAACTCCTGACGAAAGTATTGGCAACTAGACTTCAAAGGACGTTACCAAGCCTTGTTCACGCGGATCAGACAGGGTTTATTCCAGGTCGAGAGGCACGAGACAGCACATTACACCTATTTTCTATACAACATCATGCACGGAAGTTTCGGAAACAACTCCTGCTATTGTCCACAGACGCCGAAAAGGCATTCGACCGGGTCCACTGGGAATACATGTTCCAAACCCTCTGGTTTATGGGTTTTGGACAGAGAACCATGGCGTGGATTACTGCCCTATACAGCACACCGAGGACGGCGGTACGCGTCAATGGAGCGCTGACCACGAGTTTTGGAATTGCAAATGGAACCAGGCAGGGTTGCCCCCTATCACCGCTCCTTTTCGCACTCTCCCTGGAACCGCTCCTACAAGCGATCCGGGACCGTCAGGACATACACGGCTACACTTGGCAGGACACGGAACATAAGGTGGCTGCATATGCGGACGACCTTTTGTTCTTTGTTTCCCAGCCTCGGATCACACTGCCGTGTATACTCTCTGAGATGGATAGATTCGGCCGAATTTCAGGGTTTAAACTCAATCTGGCAAAATATGAAGCACTAAACCTCACCGTACCCACGGCGGATTACGTATCCGTCGGCCCACTCTTCCCATTTCGATGGTGTACGGGAGCAATGAAATACCTCGGCATATGGATCACCACAAACCCACAGGACATATACCAACGCAACTTCACGACCCTGCTGCACGGCATTGAATCCGATTTGAAAAGATGGTCCTACCCACACATCACATGGCACGGCCGGATAGCGGTCCTTAAAATGAACGTTCTCCCAAGAGCTCTATACCTATTCCAGACTATACCGCTGGCACCGCCGGCAAAATTCTTCTCGACTCTGAAATCAGAGGTCATTAGGTACGTATGGAGGGGAGAAAGATCCAGGATACGCCATGAAATACTGTGCATGCCCAGACATAGGGGGGGTTTAGCCCTGCCCGACTTTAAAAAATACCACCAAGCAACGACGTTACAACGGATTTTGGATTGGCACGAGCTAGAGACGACCAAACAATGGGTGATCCTGGATCGGGAGGGCGATGTTGCAAAATTGAAGGCGGCAATTTGGAGAAGACGGGCAACGAGAGGCAACAGAAGAGGAGACGATGACCAGGTTACACAAACACTCCTCACATGGGAACAGCTCAGGGAAACACCGCAAGTCTCCCCGACCCCCTGCCCATTGCTGCCGATTGCTCATAACCCCGGTATAGGAGGCGGACTACCGCCAGACGCCTGGTCTTTCTTAGGTGAAGCAGATTACATGCCAATACATAAGGTCATTCGGGACGGCGCTCTGAAGACTCTGGACGCGCTATTGGAATCACGACCGCGCTCACAAATGGTGGTTTTTCGATACATGCAACTAAAACATTACTTCAACTCACTCCCGCACAAAGAAAAGATACGAAGAGACCTCACATGGTACGAACAACTCTGCTCCAATGGCACGTCATTAGGGAAAGCTATCTCGAATCTCTACCAATACATACTGACCAGCCCCGCCTCAGAAAACAACCTCTTCAAACGACACTGGGAACGAGCCATGGCTAAACCCTTTACGCCAGCACAATGGGACAAGGCCTTGATATGGCAACATAAAAGCTCTTCCAGCTCTCACTATCAAGAGGTGAACTACAAACTACTTTCCATGTGGTATCGAATGCCGGTACTACTACATGGGATTTTTCCCACTACGCCACCAACGTGTTGGAGATGCCAGGAGGAAAGGGGGAACATGCACCACATATGGTGGGAATGTAAACACATTGTCCCATATTGGGACCGGATCAAATCAGACCTTCAACTAATCCTGGGAGATGACCTTGAATGGTCAGAAGAACTAGCCTTATTACACATATCCACACGACCACTGTCCACATACAAAAAATCTATCATGCGTCACCTGCTGAACGCGGCCAAATCGCTCATACCGGTATACTGGAAGAAACCAGACATCCCGACAAGGGAGGAATGGATCCACCGAGTTGAGGATATCAGGGCAGCGGAAGCTCTGAAGGCGGGGATGGCGGGCAGGGAGGCACAGCACGCTGAAACCTGGGCACCGTGGTATACTTACCGCGCACAGCCGTAGGGGGGTTCCGGGGGGGGTCTGGGGCCGGGAGACGATGCGGGGCTCACAACACTCGTGTGACATGAACAACACTTTGTACCGACCATCTGACGACCGCAGATTTAGTCAGCACACCTAATACTCCATCCACGATGTTTGGGGGATGAACACATCTCCGTCGCTCCGACAAGGACACGAGACCCCA